TGTTGGTATGTCCTACAACGCAAATTAGTCGTATAGGTTACAATTCCGCGTTGTAATTAAACGTAACAAGACAATATAAAAGAGTTTAACACCTACCTACATCACTTACATATCTAAAGGAAGACATTGGATGGAATGCGAAAGTCTTTTTTAATCCCAACAACGATGATCTCAGCACGCTCCTCCAATATTTATAAATAATAACATAAAACAATCTAACTGTAGCTCTTAAGAGAACGCTACATAAAGCTCGCCCCGAGAATAAATGGATTACTTGTGTCCGCTGTACGCCATCTAGCGGGGGGTGCGTACAACTATGAGTTATTGTTATTACATGGATTTCCCCGCTTCCGAACATGTTTTCACTTACACCCCTCATGTATGAGGAAATCGTAAAAATCTGGCCGAAATATTTTAGTGAATTGATTGGTTTGGAATGAGTTGCCAATAATATAGTAGAACTATGATTATATTTTTTACTAAAATGACAATCCTTATGTTTCTCTTAATTAAATATACCTAATTAATATACCTTAAATAGGTATATTAGATTTTTCATTTTGTTAGGTTCTTAATTAGGAACGCTCAATGATAGGTTATATATGCACCAATAAGATATATTAATACTATACTTTTCTATACTATATAATATTATTCATACTATATTTATAAATATTTTTGAAAAATCCTATCGTGGCGAGATTAAAAGAAATGTGTTTGTATATTAGGGGTCGTGACTACCTCCGTTAAAGATCGGTACAATGATTTCAAAGGCATTCTTTATTACAAATTTATATTTCTTTTGAATATATTTGAAGGATTTAAGGTAGGTATATACAGACGGCCAAGCTTATTAGTGGTAACGAGGACGTAAACCCGTTCGTTAGCTGCGTGGACGCGGACACATAATTTAGCCGTGATGCTGGAACACCCGCGTCGAAATGCTACCGGTACTCAGTGCATATGGTTTTGTCATGCTTTTAAGTATAATATATATATATCTTATATTAGGAAAATATCATTACACAATAATTTATCCTTATCATTTTATTTTGTCTTCTAGCCTATAGCATTTCGTAATAGAATGCTAAAGCGAGCATTACACCAACAAAGCGCCCCTATACCTATATTCCGTGTGGTTTCTCGTAGGTAAAATTATTGGGTAAAAATATATAGACTGCTTTCCTTCGTGGTTGAATATATTGAAGATTCTTTAAATATTATGTAAGTATGTAGCAATAGGGAGTTCCCTATTGCCACATACTTACATAATATTTAAAGAAAAAATCTCAAAAACATTTAAATTATTTATAGTTTATAATTAATTTAAATAGAGAGATTTTAGAACGGAAATCAATCAGTAGGTAGATTTTTATAGGTATTTATAAGAAAATAGAACAGGTAAAAAAAAATTCCAGCAACAATTATAAAACAATTTGTCTATGATTTTTCAACATGATGAGATACACTCTTTACTATTTATTCTAATGAATAATTTTCAAACTGTTTGAAACAGGACCAAACAAAACATAGAAATAGAATATAGAAACATGAAATTTTGCGAACCGTTTTTAATTAACTTACCTAAGCAAATACTAAATAAGAGTTTGCGATATATTACAAAGGTAACAATTTTTTTAAACTATCTGCAGGTACACCTATAGCTCTGTAATATTTTTACTTAGTCATTAATATGTTAAGTTTATTTATCTTCGATATATTAAGCTGCTGCATTCAAAGATCATTAATTAAGCCCTCGCCGGCTCGGCCGGTCCAGGCCTTATAATGTGAACTTGGGGACCACACACTGCGCATAATATGGACTCTTGGTTATACTTTATAATTTAATTTATGTAACATAACTGTTTCTCGTATAATCTGTTTTTAATTAATTACGTATTGTTGTGTGTATCACCGTTGATAGTAATTTTAGTTGTATAGGTCCTGTAGGTATACATATTGGTAGATAGGTATATGTAACTATATATATATATAGGTATATATTGACAGATATAATTTTCTCTAAATGAAAACATTACGTTGATTTGTTGAATCCTCTTTACAATTTTATTTTCATAATTCGATAGATAGTGACAAAATATTCACCTACCTACTTTTAAAATAGTTTGTACCTATTGGTTGCCTTTTTTATGTCATAAAAATTTACAATATACGTACGGTACTTTAAAACGTAGTATATAAAATATTTTACCGTCTACTTATTAGGTTTAAGTATTTTTAGGTATATAATTGCAAAATACATACATAAAAATATGTTGTATATGCAAAATTTGAAATTTCTAAATTCTAGTTCAGACCGCAACTTGTAGATATTTTCTATATAAAAAAAAACATACCCCTTCACATCCGCGCCATCTGGTTTCTGACTAGTCGGAACAATATTGGCGGCTCGCCAAGCGTCGCGTGCGCGTCCCATGTTTACTATATAAATAATTTTAACTAAAATTGAAATAGAATTTGCTGACATTTTTCGTTTATTACCCATTGCACTACTTTCTCGCATTAAATCTCTCGCTATACTGACTCTGCACCGACGAGAGAGCTAGCTTTCTCTTTGTAGCAAAAAACTAATTTGAATTTATATACAAAATTGGGTCAACAGACTAACCTTTCTAGGAAGCGTTTGCGCAACTTTATAACCATTGAGACAATGGTTCTGTTATAGTTATACTCTCCTTGTACTTTTTATGAGAATAAATTATAACCTTTGTTCCACTTTAGAAAGACAGATGCTGCATAGGTGTAACTAATATAAAAAAACTGGTATAAATAATAGCGAGATTTAAACATATGGTTCTACCACATGTTTAAAATATTATCTATAATGTCAACATCAGTAGCCTGCTAGTTTTACTAAGACCTTTTATAAATTTAGTTATTATTTAATAATAAAAATCACTAGTCATAGAACAATTTTGTCTTGCTCATAGAATATAAGATAGTAACAAAAATAGACTTACTAAGAATAATTATTAATAAATTTGTAATTAAAATGGAGAAAATAAAGTGAACTAATAATCTTGATAAAGAACTCAATTAAATATAATAAGTAATGAAGTAGTAATATAAATAATGAAGTATGAATATGACACCTATCAAGATACATATTTCATTAGTTATACCATAAGTTAGAACAAAACATTTAAATGAGTGAGTAACCTAATAATTTTTTAATAAGAGAAACTTATACGTAACTTCAAACTTTATATTAACTTATGTAATTGCCTGACATAAATAACAAAAACTCTACCGTCTCTACAACTTTTTCATCCACAAGATGAAAGACTAATAAAATATAATCATGACTCAAATGTGGTATTTGCTAATCGAACTCTCCTTCTTATTAGAATTTATTAAATGATAAAGAATAAAGATTTCGTAGGATTTTAAAAAAATCGATACTGCGCCATCTATGCATACACAAAGAAAACGCTGAAGCTTACGAAAGCACAGCTTTGAATCTTGCTGGCTGGATGATAAACGAAAAACATCTGCATATGAAAAGGTTTGAGAGAATTTCGTATCAGTTACTTACAATTTATTTATTTATTTCAGTTGGCAAGATTTTCAAATACCTAAATTAAATACTATAAACTATTAACCAAAATTAGAATTTAAGAATAAGTAGGTTAAGTATTAAATTGAAAAATTAAAGTCATGGGTTGGTTAGTAACCCATACCTACTTGCGAACTTGTAAAATAGGTCAAATAGTATAGATACTTACTATTTAACCTATTTTTCTATTATATAATTTATATGGTTTAGTATGTGTTAGTCTCTACTGTGGGTACTTTTAGGGTTATTTATATAATATTAACCCATGTTGTCCCAATGGACAAAATTTACATATTAATATTAAATTATAAAAATAACATAAATGATATAGCCCATAGGTAATGATTAAGTATTTCTAGTTAGTTGTAAGTAGTCATATAAGTACTTATATGATTTTGTAAAAATATAGTTCGAAACTTTCATAAAGTGATGTGGCTAAAGCTGTGTAGAACTGCAGACTCTAGGTAGAGCCCACCCAGTAAAGCGAAAGGTATGGTAGAGTTACAAAATAATGAGCTTAAAAGTTTATTTTAAGCGCCATCTCTACGTACTTGAAAGAACTGCTACATGCAGGAAGTAATCGTCAACCTTTTTCACTTTATTATTAAACTAAGAAAGTCATTTTAAACTGTGATGGATCCATATGTCAATTCTGTATAGCTGTTATTTTATAATTACAATACAATAAATGATAACTTCTTGTGAGCTATTCTCTCACATTTAAAAAGTGATTAAATATTCTAATAATTAAAATTTTAGTAAAATGTATCAGGTTTTATGACTAAAGGCCTAATTGTGACTAGATAGACTACGTATTTAAAATAAGTCTTTTTGTAAAAGCATGAAATGAATTTCATGTTATCTATACGTGAAGTAATACAATATTATTAATATATAATTAAAATTATTTAAATTTAGTTTGAAATCATAAATGTAAATACTATGTATTTAATACGAATTTTAAAGAATTTATGTACATAAAGAATATATTATACTTTAAAAAAAATTAAAAACTAACACCAAATGTTGATTACACCGGACTACACCAGAGACCCTCCCAATAGAATACAAGATCAACACACACAGCCACATTCTATACACGTGTGCTCGGGAATTTCAGTCTGCCATACTATACACGCGACGCCATGTTACTTTAGACGCTATCTCACTCACACATCTGTAGAAACAAGTGAGTAGCGTGAGATAGAATTTTTATTGCTATCTCTTTTATTCGAACTTTAAATGGGAGAGTCAACATTGGGCATTCTTTGGATTTGAGAAGGGGAATGAAAAATTCAAAAGAATCATGGCGATACCGTTCGATGCATACATTGGTAGGTCGGGTGGCGACCGAGGATTCGACGTTTTTGTAATGTAATGGCCGAACCGGTATGTCAGTAAATACTACTTTTAAACTGCTTACCTTTTAGGCTACGTCTTCCAGTTTCTCGAAATAAATTTTGTTCGCGTCATATCATTTTGATGAGATCTGAAATATGAAAAAGATTATTTGGTAATAAAATATAATACAAGCATTGAGGTAATACTGAATAATTAGAATTTTTATATATAATATAAGTAGGTGCATACTAATGTTTATATGTAGATAAAGATTATACAGAAAAAGCTCTACACTTATACATAAATGCAACCTACCGATATTATTTCGCCTCTAGCATCATTTATTGATGTAGCTACCTACCTATATACGACATATAAGTCTATATGTATACCTACATAACCTGTCTGGACAGCTACTTGTATGAAAAGCAGGTATCTAAAAGTATTTACACTTAAATATGAAAGATAAGCGAGTTTCATAGTTGCCAGCTGCCTCTTGCGCGAGACATAAATTAACGTGCAGTTAACATAGTGCAGTAACTTGGATTATTTACTGCCACATGTCTTAAGATAATCTTTACTAAGTGCACATTTACTGGTCGGGAACCCGGGACCCCGGCTTGGCGGGCCACTCTGCTTTATGTTAAGTTAAGCAAATATTAATGGCGGCAAATTTACGATAGCTCTAAAATGGCGACCGTGATCTCGACTCAACGCTTTTTTATAATTATATATAGGTTCTATGAAAATTCTGGGATGTCATTTTCTTAATCTCTTTCTAAACACAGTTCAGTCAATTGAAATTTATATACGTAGTTGGGGGAAACATATAAATATATAAGTATATTTATGTTTTTCCCCCAATTACGTATGCCACAACTACCAACTATATATGGGTAGTACCAAAATTTTTTTATGGATGATTCTGGAATGATGCCACTGTCTGCGCTAAAGATTTGCGCTAGAGGGGCACCAGTAGCGGGTAATAAGATGAGCAGAAAGTCAGGTCAGTTGACGCACCATGACAAATTCTCCAGGAATTGTTCACCATAGTTTCCAGGGGGAACTGCGTAGACATAAATCATACTTGGCACATTGATAACGCGATAGAGTAAATATTTCACATTATTAATAAACCCTTTTCCCCCAGTAGGTACCTTAACATATGTTTAGTGGGACTCTACGTCGATGACTCTACCTCACTAAATACAACTGTTTTTTATAATATTTTGGTTCAGTAAACTAATAGGTATTTAAATTTATCCTCAACATTAGATAGGTACTTTACATACCAGTAACACACATGTTGATAAATTAGCAATTATCTGTTTAAGTATTAAATATTTATAGGTACTTACGAACCGCAAAAAAAATTTTCGTATACATATAATAGACTTAGAATATTGTCAATAAATATAGGTTTCTATATCAACCTATTACACTTATTATCATTCTCATAATTATTGTGTGTTGATAAGGACAAAAACATTGAAATAATTAGATAGATATTAAGTAGTCTATTATGTTAAGTATATTATTTAATTATCTACCTACTTATATATTGAATAATAATATTTTATCTAGGTCTCAGTATCTACAGTATGCCTACCTAATAAAATTGGCTATTTATGCCATACTAGCTGTGCCCGCAGTTTCACCCGCATAAAATTTACAGCGTATATGTTATTATGATTTATAAGCTATATTACTATCAGAATCCGTTCAGTAATTTTTGCTTGAATAGTAAATAAACATCCATCCATCCTATATATCGATACTCACAAACTTTCGCATTTATAATATTAGTAAGATGTAACAGTTAATGGTATTGTCTGGTATTATAGACAATGTACGTAAGTATGTCTTATATACACCAACTACCTCGTATAATAATATTTATTTACACTTGCAGGTACTACATAACTCTAAACTTTCACTGAATATTGACTATTAACTTGCTACCTATATTAGATAAGTAACCTATAATGATCAAGTTACCACTTATAACAATTATAACATAAATTAAAATTGCAAAAAAGTTGAATGAAAATTATTTAAAAGGTCATCTTGTAACCGTAGAAGCGTGAGAGTGCAAGCGATGAGAGCGCCCTCACGCGTCCCTGTGATTGATACGCAATAAACTGAATTTATTACGAGACCGCCATAAACGCACGACCGAATGGCTAATCATCTATTAATCGCAATTTAACGCATCAACACTGTCAAATAATACTTGAAAGAACAAGCGATAAAAGTTTATTGCGCTCGTAGCGAAACGCGCGCGAAATTCTGTGACTGTGACGTAGACAAACTGAAAAGTTTTAATGAAACTATAGAAACTTGAATCTCAGATTAACTGTAGACTCATAGCTAATAGTATTATGAAGACTACCGATGTAATGATACTTTAGAAGTAGGTATGTGTATTGTAAATATATCTACAATTATCCAATTGACTCCGTAAATATTAGGTTCCACCTATTTACCTACTACCTATAAAACCTTGTTTACTCTCAGTTCACTTGCGTAGTAATGAACAAGGAAATTATCTAACATAAGGAAGTGAATACTGAATAGTATTCTATAGGTACCTACCTATACCTATTGCATAAAACGGAATCATTAAAATCCATTAATTTATTTTTATAATTATATATAATATATATATCTCTTTTTTAACCATTTTACTTAACTAACACTTTTTTAACTAAAAGATTAATTATTTATTTATGTTTCGCGTTGCAGTGCACTTAATTCTCGAGTGTGACCGTGTAAGCGATATAATAAAAAATACATAAAAGCACACGGAAGGAGGTACAATGCTCCATAACCTACCGCAAATTATTGACATTACAACTCTGTGATTGTTTCTTTGTTTATCAAATAATTTTTATTGGAGCCGCCCGGGCCGCCTTTATGTGAAGGCAGAGGTGGGTGATCGGACATCAACCTTTAAATTGGATAATTGCACCGTATTATTGTCCCAATATCAGTAATTCTTAATTGAAATGTAGTTACAATTTGGTACGTTACCACGAAGATTTTTCCAGCAATTGACAAATCGTGGTGGAATTACCTAATTAGGTACCTACTCTACTACGCGGAGTGATCTGATTAGGTAAGTACATAGGTTACCAACCAACTAAATTTCGTACCGGAGTGCCTTTGGATAAAATACTATAGATTTTTCTAACGTTGTATGTTTACAGAGTTCATGATTTTATAATTTTTGTTTGTTTCTACCTACCTATATATGTTTGTTCGCATTATTCTCAGAAATAACATTACCGATGTCACTTATTTCTATCTATATATTTATTTTATAATTTCTTATAAATATATTATTATATAAGTTATCGTTTTTTTTAGTTTCAATAATTTCATTTTCTAAGACCCTATAAATAAGTTATGATCATAACAAGCACGCATGATAACACAGATTGTGTCATGTGATCAGCGGAAAAAGCGCAGCGCAGAACTCTCAGCGGATTTAGATAATGAGCTTTCATAGGTGAGCGGTTTTATTTCCGTTCAGCCGCTCGCAGTCGTAAACCGAATGACTGGATACTGGTGTGTCGAGTCGAGCGCAGAGCATTATGTTACGTTACGACTGGCACTGCGTGGAAAGAAGGAAACTGTCCATTGAGATTGGATTTTGTTACAATTTATGTAACAGAAAGAAATTTCTGATTTTAAAATTATAAAAATGTTGTAGACTTGATTGTTTTCTAATTTAATTGTCATAAAAGGCTCATAATATGCTCGCCGAACTTAGGATACAATAGGAATATAATATTTAGGTATGGATTATAATTATATTATAGCAGATTGAAAATTCAACTCGGCTCCTATTGTATCCTAAGTTCGGCGAGCTTGGTTAGGTACTTTTAAAAGTACTGGTAGGTACTTAAAGAATTAAACTTCGTTAAGATTTTACCAAATAATTCAATACTGTCACTAATGGGTCTCCATTATTAACAATCCTCTCTCGTCCACATATATACTTAATTACTCTTACCTAATCACAGTAAATATTAGTTTTTAAAGTAGGTGTACTTTAAAAATTAATATAAATATAATAGATACTGTGATATTATTAGATACTGTGATATTATTTTTACATTTAGGAATATTGATATTTCACATAAACACCTATAATAAACACGAGACACGATAATACCTACAGTCAAAGATGCGAGCGTATCTATCACGGGCCATCGCCCAAACACCGGTTGTTTAGTGATGTTGTAAATCAAATCATCAATTATCGACAATAGTTTACACTCGTGACGCCGCCGTGTAAACAATCCGAGCATTAAAACTTGCTACCTACGTTTTATGGCTATTCAATTTGGGGGAAAATCGATTTTATTTGCTTGACTTTCAATCGATTCACGGGTAAAGTCGTTCGGAGATTACTCCCGATGTGTGTATGTATCGAATTTTTCTACTCGCGGAAGTGGTTGGCGGATACGGCTGCACGAGGAAGAGATGCTAGTGGTGCTGGTAAACAACATGACCGTTCAGACTTAGTTTATTTGCTTAACCCTTTACGTGCGTGCTGTTGTAAGCGAAGGTACCTACATTATTTCAACGATAGGTATTAACAATTCAAAACAAAATGAATCAAATAGGTAATAATTTAGATAAAGACACTTGTCTTGTATATATCAATCTAGTGTCGTTAGTAGTTTAGGTATATATAAATCAAAATATACGTACTATATGTAGGTACCTATATAGCTAAGAACTATACAATACATATAAATAGCTAGGCTTACTTACTCACCAAAACAAGTTTCCACGAATTTCACGTCAACACTTGCTAATAAACTGAGTGGCTAATGTCACAGTAAGATATAAAATCACTCTTAATTCCCGAGTGTGACCAGCGACGTCATCGAGCCAACTGACTCCATATACCATCTCCAACAATGGTATCACATATTTATGCTACTAACAAAACACTAACAAATTGATATGTTTATCTACAAAGGACTATAAATTCATTCAGTTCGGGCCCACCCTTTAAAAGGGGATCCACCCTTCTGATTTAAAAAAATTGCAAAATATTATATAAATAATAAAAAAAGCTATCTTCCCCCAGTGTCCCCTCGACTTTGATATAATTTTGGTTAACTCGCAGTT